TATTTATTTATAAATTTCGAACAATTAATGTAACACTTAAATCTTTAAACAGCTCTTGATATTTCAAAATGGGCTCTCAAAGATGATCTCTATTTTTCCTTTTAAATTAATTCTTTTTTCTCTCCTTTTTCGCACTTTTCTCTCTCATCTTCCACGTCCTCCGTTTCTCTATCCATCACCAAGCGCGCACTACGCACCCCAAACAAAATCTCAGCCCTCCGTTCCCCTCAGGTCAACGACCCAGATTATCCTTTGTATCCGTGCATTTTAGCCATTGTCAGTATGCAATCTGTCTATTTCTATCTACTGAAATTGTCGGAGAAGAAAAGGGAGAAATCTTTTTGAGATAGAAGAGTATAGCTCCGGAAGCCAGTTGCCACCGTTCCCTGTACCGCCGTTATGGCAGCGTTTTCCGGCCGCTGGTGACTCTAATCTGAGCTGCTGATGGCTGCCCCGGTTCCGGCCCCCACAAACGCGTTCGATCTCTACCGTCCGGTTCGATCGCTTACCGTTTCGGGAAAGTGATGCATAAAATATTTAACTGTTGGCGAAAGCAGCAGCAGCAGCTTTGTTATTTTATTTATGTGGTTGTGTTTTGGTTCCCTTTATGTGTGGGTGTACGGACGGGGTTTGATTTGAAGATGTGGGTAGTGATCAAACACTTTGAATTAGGAACTCTGAGTTTGATTTTATTAGTAGAGAGAAGGTTTTCCATGGAAGTTCTATAGTAGTAGCTGCTTTTTTGGGTGTAATTGTATTTTTTTTTTCTCCCTTTTGTTTTCAATTAGAGTAGGGTTTGTTTAGGATATTTTTGTCAATTTTAGGCTATGGAGGCTAAAGAGCTAAATTTGAACAAAGAGTGTAAGGTTGGAGGAGATGGGTTTATAGATAGGAGCAAAGTAAGGATTTTGCTTTGTGATAATGATTCCAGGAGTTCCGAGGAGGTTTCTTCCCTTCTTCTCAGATGCTCTTATCAGGGTATAATTCATCTTTCTTTTTCTTTGTGTATCTTTTTACCTTTAGAATTGTAAATTATATACTATTTGATTTTAAAATTTTAAGATAATCTTTTCAAGGTTGTGTTGTTCTATGTTGTTGAGTATTGAGAGTTAATTCTGGGTTTTGCGTTTGTGAAATAACTTATGTTCATTGTTTTGGTGTATATGTTTTTGGGATTGATGAAGGGGTTGGTAATGCATTCTATGGAAGTTTTGCAGTCTTTTTTGTGCAATTTAATATTGAAGACAACCATACAATTTTAATTCAAATGTATATTTTGAGAAAAACGAATTTTAGCTGCTTCTAAATGTCTTGTGAGTAAGAAACTGATGTTTATGTTTAGCATTTATAGATAATTCATGGAAGTTAAGTTATGAATGTGAATGCTTGAGTACTTAAATAATAGGAGGAAATGATTATTTGTTTCAAAGAATTAAGATGTTTGCTATGCTTCCTTGTCAAATTAACAATCTTCTGTTCCATTTGCATTTATAGAAATGTCCTCTGATTTTTTCGCCACAGAACTCTTTTTGTGTAATCATGTTTTAGAAGTTGTTTAATTCAATCTTCATTATTATTATTATTATTATTTTTGTAAAATCTGGATTTATTACCTAAAAATAACTGTCATTACAAAGCAGCACCATGAATCAAGGCTGCTACAGTTTCAAAACTAGGAAAAATCATAAAGCTAGATAATCTTCATTGATTTCTATAAAGAATGCCCAGTCTCAAGTTAGATGTAATGCTAACTGGTACAGGAGAAGCCCTAGTCTTGGCAAATCCCATTCATCTATCTCTGACATCAGATTGAATAGTTGCTAGAATGGCTGATTCTGATCTGAAAATTTGAATGTGAATTCTTCTGTTCCTCTCCACCCATATACTGATTGTGTATCTTTGGTATGTTTTGATTCATTTTTTATGTCACTGATTGTGTTCTACTTCTGCATGTTGAAATAAAAGTAATTATATGAAATTTGGATTTTTGTTCTAATGCTAGTAATTTAGATTTTTTCTGCCTTTTGTTCAAATAGTTGTGTCTTCATGTTCTGCTTTAATTTTATCATCATTCATAGATCTTGATTGTGCCATGGTTCTAGAAGACCTTTTATTTATTGTTTTTGTTCTCCAGAAGATGCATCTTGTGATATTTTTTGTTAGTTTTGCTTTGCAGTGACATCAGTAAAGTCTGCTAGGCAAGTTATTGATGCATTGAATGCGGAAGGACCTGATATCGATATCATTCTTGCTGAAGTTGACCTCCCAATGACCAAAGGCATGAAGATGCTGAAGTATATTATGCGAGATAAGGATCTCCGCCGTATTCCTGTGATTAGTAAGCTTGTTTTGTAATCTTTTTTCTTCTAGAAATTTCTCTGGCGGTAAACTTTCTTATTATTATATGATCTGATCATTTATATATTTCCTTTCTTTTCATTTTCTTTTGCTAGTGATGTCGGCACAAGATGAGGTGTCTATTGTTGTCAAGTGCTTGAGGCTTGGGGCTGCTGATTATCTTGTCAAGCCTTTAAGAACAAATGAACTATTGAACCTTTGGACACACATGTGGAGAAGGCGACGGATGGTTTGTTATGCATTAATTTGTGATTCTATTTTCGTCATCTTTTAAAAAAAAAAATTTATTTTTATTTTTTCATATTTCTTCAGTTTATGGTTCATTTCTAGTTCCCCTTACTGTAAGAAAATATATTCTCTATTTATACCCACAAAACAGACAATGAGGGTGGATAAATATTCAGTAGAAGGAACTGAGTTCCCAAATCTGGGAATTTTTTCAAAAATCCATGCAATTATACAAGGACATGATTGCATATATTTAACCAAAGCCAGTTTTCAGATATTCATATATATGTTTATGTTGTCAGCTTGGTCTTGCTGAAAAAAACATCTTAAACTATGACTTTGATCTAGTGGCATCAGACCCCAGTGATGCTAATACAAACAGTACTACTCTCTTCTCGGATGACACTGATGAGAAGTCCCGGAAGAGTGCTAATCCAGAGATGGGGGTGTCAACTAATCAGGAAGATGAAGTGAGTATTGAACCTGAATGATTTGGCATGTATTTGCATATGTTTGTAAAATTAGGGAAAAAAAAAAGAGTTTATATCCTTGGCTATATATTGTTAAATAATGAACTTGTGCACCATGAAGATCTCAAGCCCTTGATTCTAATGGATTTCTATATCATCATTACACACCAGTTTCAACCAATGTTATGCACACTCTTAAGTTTACCCTGTTGAACCTGTTCCCAACATTTGTGGGACACTTTGATTGAATCCATATGTATTGTCTCTTAGGCTGAAATTAAGGGTGATATATGTAGAATATTTTAGATTCCTGTCTTAGAAATGTACCAGTCTTAGACACTTAGTCTGACTCCATGTAGATTTCATGTATCAGCTCTATCAAAATTAACAACTTTGATGTCTTTCACATTTAAATCATTTGAGCTGTTTTATCTTGAGTTTCTTTCAAAAGGTATTGCCATTTCTATTTGGCAGGGAAATCTTATAAAAGATGCTATCATGAAGAATAATTTTCTACTCACAGGAAAAGCTCCCCAATAATCTTGGCCAAGCTAAATCTGTATTCTAGCTATACATTTCAAGTATTTACCTAATTAAGTTTATATTGTTTATGATGTCAAGTAGGATTTTGCAGCAACTGCTGGCTTTAAATCGTGTGATATGCTTGTAGTAATCTGTATTGGGTTCTTAGATAAGTTCTACAAGATTGGTTAAAGAGAACTCACAGAAACCAACTGCTTTTATTGCTTAGCAATAGTTTAAAGTCATAAATGTTAAATGGAATATGCACGTTACTCATAAGTCAAAAATATAGGCATGTGCACTCTGGATGAGAGTTAGAATGGAAATCAAATAAAACATTAACCAAAAGGGACAGCATATATCTCAGTATTTGGTATTCTTTAAATAGATAATTATGTAAGTATATGCCTTTACTTTTGTGTGTATTTGGATGATATAAGCTTGAGCTTGTTATAAAGAGCAAACGTAGTTTTGGAATAAAGTAAGAGCCTTATAATTAATTAGTTCTGATAATCCACTAATTGACATCGGTTCTTAAACTGGGAGAAAAATATATTCTTAATGGGTGAACTTTTGTTGATCCATTCATTGTGTGATTACCTGTACTTAAAATGTACATTGGAGATACTGTTTATGTAGCATCTTCTATGTTTGGCTCCTAGTTCCATCAGGGCATTTAATATTTATTCTATAACGTCAGAGTTGGCATACCACATTCTTGCAAGTTTATATAAGCACATTTTTAATGCTGTAAATTAGTGACAGATCAATAATGTTAAAAAATTATATCTGTTTCCAGTCTGTTGCTGTTCCTGTTCCTGCTGCTGTAGAGCCCCCTCAAATTTATTTATCAGAATATCGTCCTGATGTGCCAGGGATAGTTGACCGCCGAACAGGTTGACTATTATTTAACTATTGCTACCAGCATCTTGTTTTGCTGCTTGTTGAAAATTAGAATTGTCCAACTTTGTTCAACATGATCTTGATGCCATGCATCTTCTATGGAAATCTTCTTGTAGGAAATGAGTTCAGTTTCATTTTACCATCAGCTATAGCCCCCTTAACCCTGTACTCTTATAATTATCCTTTTCTGTTTGAAACAAATTCACAATAATATTCTGCTGCAGTAGTTTCTGTCATGTTTTTAGGTCAGAAGTTGATTTTCTTAAACTAAATCGTGAGTTTCATAAACATTTAATTTTATCAATCTTAATCAAATGCTTCAAAAGTTAAATGTCATTTTTTATTTTCTTTAAGGTTTTGAGAATTAGTTTCTGTTTATGCTCTGTTTGTTTCAGAGAAGATGATTTCCTGGAAATTATAGGTAACCTATATGCACAAGAAACAGATACTTAGATAAAGGGTACTCTTTTCCTTTTCACAAAATCATTTCCTCCATCATAAAGGGAAGTTGTTTTCCAAATTTTTCTTTTTATTATCTTTTGACTGAAAAATAATGTATACATTCATGAGTCATGTTACCTATAAATTCCTGGAAGTCATTTTTCCATAGACCTACTGGACTATTTGTTTGTCTGATAGGCAAGGCAAACTTTCATTTGCAACATGCATTTAATGAAAGTTTGAGGCTCATTTATCAATAATAACATGCTATTTTAGGTGATGTTAACAGGGTTACCACATCACAACTATCTTAAGTTACACTGTCTTCTAGCTTTTCCTATGGTTCCTAATCCATGCTAGCACTCTTTTATGGTCAGATACTCGCAATAAGGAAAATAGTGAGCAACAATGTGATTCTTTTCTAATTGTGATAACTTTTTCATTCTTCACAAACTTCTTTTATTTAATTCATGCTGAAATACCAGAAACCTTTTGCAGGTCAATTTTCATCTGTGCCAAAGAAAAGTGAGCTAAAAATTGGTGAGTCCTCAGCCTTCTTTACATATGTAAAGTCAAGTCCACTCAAAAACAATTCCAAAGGGGTCACTTTGATTGAGGATAATGCTGCACAACGTTTGAGGATTGAAGAGACTCCTGAGCCTTGTGTTCAACTGGCTGTTAATGATGCCCAAGTACATGAAAATGGAGAAGCCTGGGAAAATAGTTCCCCAGGTGATGACTTCCCAAGCAGCAGTAGCATCCCTGATTCTCTTTCCCTTGAGAGGTCTTGCACCCCATCTGTCTCAGTGGAGTTTTCAGAACAAAGGAATTTCAATGAAGAAAAGTTCTCTCAAGTGCTTGTGCCTCCAACAAATAAACATCAACATGATGTATCTGGTTTACCTGCACAAACTGCATATCCATATTATATGTCTGGAGTTATGATGCCTGGATCATCACCGTTGTTTCAGAAGAACCTCCATGATCTTCAAAACCATGCTTCCCCAGCTGTTTTGTCTCAGTACAATCATATGCCTCAATGTCTTCCTCATATGACTGGGATGGCGTCATTCCCCTACTACCCAGTTAGTATGTGTGTCCAGCCTGGTCAAATGCCTACAACTCATTCATGGCCATCATTTGGAAGTTCATCTTCCAGTGAAGTGAAAGTAAATAAGGTTGATAGAAGAGAGGCAGCACTACTAAAGTTTAGGCAGAAAAGGAAGGAGCGCTGTTTTGATAAGAAGATTAGGTATGTTAATCGGAAAAAGCTGGCTGAAAGGAGGCCACGAGTGAGGGGACAGTTTGTGAGGAAGGTAAATGGTGTAGATGTTGATCTTAATGGGCAACCTGCTTCTGCTGATTATGATGAGGATGAAGAAGAGGAGCTGGCATCAAGGGATTCTTCTCCCGAGGATGATACTTCAGGAGGGTGTTAATCAAATTCATACTTATTCGGGATGCTATCCTACTCCTGTCTGTTTCCACAATGCAACTAGTGCTACGGTATTTCATTGACTTGAAGTAGTCTCTATACATCACTGTATTGATTGAAGAGCATTGATAGGAACAAATGTAATAGGATAAAAGCACCCGTCCTGTGCAATCGTGGATTGCTTCCATCGTTTGGATGCCTAGGGTTATCTTGGTTAACCTTATCAAGGTTGGCAGTGGCTCAAAAGCCTTAGATTGGAAGCTTCTGGCTAAACCCATTTCCCTACTGAACGTTTTGTGCTTGTATTTTAACAATATTTTCATATTCAGATAATCTCTCACAAATTTCGGTTTTTGTGAGGAAAATGGGACTTCTGGAAATCTGTTCTCGAGGGAGAATGTAGTTACAAGAAATGGAAAGCGTTGAAATCTAGGATGTTATAATATTCTTCCTTGCCGGTACAAATTATTCTTGTTTTAAAAAATAAGTTGATTAATATTTATATATATATTTACTAAGGAATTAAGTAGTTCAATGATCATGTTTTTTCATTAGAAATTAAAGATTTTGATTTCGAATTGTATGATATGTAAATAGAATGAGATAAAAGATGAAAGATGATTGTTTTTTATTGTATAATTAAAATAAAAAATATATATTTATATATATTATATTTTTTTAGTATATAAATGATAATTAAATTTTTTTATTAAATAAAAATTTAATAAAAATTATGTATAATTTTTTTTTTGATTATTACTTATATAGTATTAAAAGATATTATCTAAAATTACCGGAAAAATAGAATTGAACAACTTAAATTTTGAAACACTGAGGAAGTATTTTCATAGCTTACCAAATACCCATTGACTCGCTCTGGACCGGCTTTAGTTGAAAGGTTTCGCACATTCGCATTTTTCTTTGTAATTGCACTCAATTTCTAATTGCCACTGGTAAAAAGATAATTGTCCGAATCCAAATGCAAATGAAGTCAAATAACACGATCGAATGCGTGGGGATTATGTCTATTTGAAATTGAGTTTGGACACAAAAGAAACGTTATTGTTATGTAACAGAAACTAAGATGGCTACCCTGCAAGCACTTGATGAATAATGGCATATAAAACCCGATCACATAAAACCAAGGGAAATGATTGGGATTTTGAGCAGCGCAAGCAGGCAAGCTAATGAGTCAGCTTAAAGTACAAGATCAATATGATTGCAACAACTAGTGCTGCAATTATGGAGCCAACTATCCATTTGTTCCTGCTTATCCTTCTGGACATAATAGCTAGGATTTTTTTGCTCTGGGTAATGTTGTCGTCTACCCCATGGATCTGCACAACATAATTAGATAATCAGCTTTGGCTTTTTGGATTTGGAAAGTATATGATTGGCAAATTTATGATTTAGCAGAAACCAATCCTTCCATTTATCTAAGATACTAAAACAGTCATCCGGATTTAATTTTCATGTAGATGGTAAAACATAGCAAAAGCATCAATCACTAAAGACAAAGGCTAAATATCAATTTTTAGTCCAAAACTTTCAATTTTGAACATTTTAATCCCTAAACTATTTTTTGCACTTTTTCATCCTTGAACTATGAAAAATAAATTTTTTAAATTCTTCCATCCGTTAATTAGTCTGTTAAATTTATTTAAATATGCATATTTTTAGTCTTTAAACTTATAATATATGTATATTTTAAATGAAAATAAAAATGTACATATATAAATGGACTTAACGAATTGACAGAATGATTAAAAAAAGTGCATTTTTCATGGTTTAAGAATAGAAAAAAGTGCAAAAAATAATTTAGGAACTAAAAATGTTCAAAATTAAAAGTTTGAAGACTAAAATTGACATTTAAGCAAAAAAAGAACGAAAAAAAGAAAACAATACCAAGAACTTAAAACCCATAACAAGACTAAAAATGTACTACCTCTGGTCAATTTTACTTGTCACATTTTCTATAAGGAAATGATCCTATTTGCATGTTGATTCATTTTTCAACGTAGCATTTAAGTTTTCTTCTCCAATTTTGCCCTTATCAATTACTTCATTCATTTTTTTTGTCTTTTTTTTTTTTTAATCTTTTGGTAAATTAGATGATGGACTATACAACAATGGATAGTCCTCCCATTCCCTTAATCCCTCCTTACCCTTCTCAAAGTTTAAACTCAAGATCTCTAACTTAGAATCTCAAGCTCTTACCCACTTGAGACACCTGTTGGGGGCAATTACTTCATTCTTTTAAAAGAACACATCCCAACTTCACAACTATACTCATTAATAAGGTTCAATATGAAATTTTAATTACTAATAAGTTATTTTTTATGAATCTTTGAAATTTTCTCTACAATCTTATCAAGCAAAAGTGTGACAAGTAAAATGGACCAGAGGTACTATTCAAACTCAAGAGATGGAAGAAAACCATACAGCGTTACGAGCGTGAAGTAGAGATTGACGTTGTTGATGCAGGTCCTGGAGGATTGAGACACCCAACTCTTCTGTCTCCAGCGCTGCTTTTCTGCCTTCTTTAATTCTGTCAGTTGACTGATTTAATCTCTCTGTCGACATCAACAAGCGTCCTCTTTGATCAGAAGAAACCTGTCCCCTCAACCAATAACAAGCTTTTGACATAATAGCTTAGAGAGGAGAAATACCTATGTATGCTTTATATATACAAGAAAACAAATATTTCAACTATGTGCATGTTTTCAGTGAAAAGGTGAAAGAATTTATGGGGAATAATCATGTGAAATAACGAGATTGGTACAGGAAATGCTTCAAGATATTATAAAATGAGGGGGAAAAGTAAGGATCTAGTAACTAACTACTTAACCACACCAACATCAAGCGCAAATTCATGCCACTTAAGAAGAGAGAGTTGGCTGGCCAAAAAACAGGAAGAGAGAGTTGCGTCAATCACTCAATTACCATCATTGCATCTGCCATTCCTAACTCCAACAACTCATCTCTTGCGGCAAGATTCACATTAGCTGAAGAAACTCTTTTGAATTCACTCTTCAAATTGTTCAGATCAGTTTTATATTCTCTTAGTTTGGCAAGAAGTGTTGCCTTCATGCTTGGCTGCAAACTCCTTGCTTCAAGGTCCATTTTCCGAATCTGGAAAAATTTAGGCAAGGGTTGCATTAAAAAACCAGGAATGTAGAAAGAAGAGGAAATCTAGCACAGAATCTAGATTACCAAGGCATCAGCATCATCGAGTCCTGCTTTTATTTCAGATATTTTCTGCTTCTTCTGCTCTGAAATCAAATACAATATGGAACTCAGTTTCAAAGCATTTCAAAGCATTGCTTGAGACAGAAATATATAAACATCATTTTTTTTTTTGTGGAATATATAAACATCATTTTTTTTTTCAGAACTCATTTTCAGACCAAACTGCCTACAATAAACTAATCTTTATATATGTGCATGTGCGGGTGCTTGCACATGACTGCATAATAAGAATCCACTTCAACATCTACATTCCCATGACACCCTCAGGCTTGCATTTCTTTTATAATTTTGAGCCCTTGGGCCAACAATTAAATACCACTTCAACACTGGTGCAGAGTTCAAGGCATTTGGGAAATAATATTCCACCACATTTTCTTCATCAACATTCGCAGATAGCATCTTTCTATTAGTATACAACCACATGCATAATGCATGAAACCAACTAAAAGGTTAGAGCAGCATAGGCCCCCACCATGCCCAATTGCTTAACCTAAACATAAACATATAGGGCAGGGCTACTAAACGATTCAGCACATGGAAAGTAGGATCAACAATCACAATCAATAATTCGCTTACAAATTTCTAAATTTGACATGAAATTGGAAACTTAACACACGATTTCGCCAATTAAGCTAAAGATCAATGTTGACGAATCATCGGCATTACCTCCATCAACAGAACCGGCAGAGGTGCACTTCCGCGACAAATTCACGGAGAGCTCGCAGTACTGGCGCTCATATCCCTCGAACACCTGACTCATCGCGCTATAATCTGTGCCGAAGATTTCACCATCACATCATTTTCGATCAATCACAATGAAATATACAGAACGGATCTTAAAATGCATTTCCTGAATTTTTTTGCCTGCAATTATGAGACTAAAGACAAAGATCTTCCTACAATTGAAAACTGAAGAATCCACTGAATTTTATTCATGTACGAACCGGAATCGCGCAGGAGAATCGCCAGAAAAGGATCGAAGAAATGGAGAGGAAGAGGTAGGGATCGAGAAACGAACGATGA